CACGTAGCCGTCATCAATCTGAGTACGATGTTTTGTAAAAAATGCGTAGTCGCGACTACGATGTCTTTTTAAGCAAAGAAAGTAGGTTTATTTCTTCATTCTGTAAGAAATCAGTTTACAGTACTATTTTCGAGCATCCAGGCTTTAATTTAGAACCTTTTTTAAGCGCAGATGTACATTAAAAAGGAAAATATGACCTGCAAAACTTTCATGTATTTCGTACGCAAAGTGAAAGGTAAACAAACAATAAAATAGTACAAATATATCGTACATAAAACTTGAAATAGTGAAGATTTTTTACTGTAAAGAGTCCTATGCTATCGCAAAATCAGTATTATCGATTCTTTGATATCATTAACAAATATAGCCGTAGCTGCTTCACAAACGTCGGTCTTTTACACAATAAAAAGGCTCGTTATGTTGTTTACAACTAAAGCAAAATTTTGACGAAGCGACAGCGACAGCAAAACTTCCTCGTGCCATTCCCTTACACGGTCAAATTTCGTACTCGTTCTCGTAGTCGTACTCTTGCTAAAACTCCCTAATTATGAAGAACCACTGAAGCTTGGGTTATCCTGACAACCATTTCAACTCTAGCATGTATTGGAGGTCAAAAAATCCTGAAGCGTGCAGCTATGATCCCAAAGGCATTTTCAATTGTCAGTCTTCCTCGTGACAACCAGTAGTTGAACACTCTTTCTGCAATACCTAGAACTTCTCTTGGGTAGGGTTTCATTATGTGACGTTGCAGTTGAAAGGCTTTGTCTGCTACCATAACATAAGGGCATTCTTCCTGGAAGCTAAGCTATGGTTTTTCACATGGAAAATTCAAACTGTTGTTTTTCACAGCTTTATCCAATTTTGCTGTAAGAAAATATACCACCTTCGCTATTTCTATGTCGTCACCTATGTCGACCAGAGTGAATTTGTAGTTGGCGTTGCAAGTAGCCATTAACAAAAGATAAAATTCTCCTTTAGTTTTTCTTTCTTGATAAAACTTTCGAATCCAAAATGATTTTTTATATTTATCTTTCTTCATTCGTCTACTTAAAATTAAAAGCAAGCGAGTTTTTTTGCTGAGATTACCCATAACAAAAATACTTATATTGTTTCTGAAATTCTAAATGAGAATGAGTGTTTAGAAGGGGCAACCAATTAAATCTTGGTTGATCGTTTTAACATATTACAAACTGGAATGGATGAAATTGCTGAATTAGAAGACATATTACTTAATTTAGAAGTCTAATTTTATAGAGGTAATGCCAAAATTCTGGCAATTCTACAGTTGCTGGGTGCAGTTAACTGATATTGTGGTGATTTGTTACTTTTACTTCATTTTTATATTCTTTAAATTCTAGCTGGCACAAGATCGAGGAGGTCCAAGAAAAGAATTTTTTCGTTTGATTTTGTTAGAAATCAAGGAAAAATACTTTGATAACGGCTTGCGTCACCTTTTGGCTGATGGGTACATCTGCGTGGGAATAATAATGGGTGAGAACTTAAGTTTATAAAATTGTTTGTATTACATGGTCAGATATCAAAATCATGATAAAAGAGCTGTGAAGGGTATTTCGTCTGTATTGCTACAATTGGTTAATTTAGACCTCCCCTGATAAGACAAGGTTACAAAGTAGTTTTTCTTTGTTTTTTACTAAGCGACACAGTAATATTCTCGATGCAGAAAAAAACACTATGTTAGTTGATAATTAATGTACCATAATTCATTCATCTAGGTCTTAGTGTACTGCAAATAGGAAAACTTCCCCAGTTTATATCAGATGATCTGTTGAACGAAATGTTTGATGCAGAAACTCCAGCCATTCCTATACAAAATTTGATAAAGGGACTAAAAAGAGTTGGTATATTCCAGGTGAAAATAATTGAGTCGGAAATATCTTTTCATTTTTTCTTTTACTGTACTGCTTGCAATGAACAGAAAAGTTTAATAAGTATTAATTTCACCTCCAATCATGCGATCAATTGCACCATACCATATCTAGGTATGGCAACAAATGCCACAAGTAAATAAAATTTTCCAGCAGAATCGAACATCTTTCCCCACAATTCGAAAAATAAATATGTTGATGACTGCACAATTCAGTCCTGTTGGCTCAAACAAAAGAAAACATGAATCAGGAATTTATGCATTATTTTGCAAGTACTTGAGAAAAGTTGCTGGTGGTTTTGACTTGTTGTAGGACTGTTTTTATATTTTTTCAGAATTTGAATTTAATGATTACTTTTAGTACTTTCATTTATTTAAATACTAGTGGAAGAAGAGGTGATATCACTCTTGGGTGGGTTCTCCATTTTGCCACATCAGCTGATGAAGAGCCATTATTAGGATACAAAATAAGTCCATCAATTCGTTTTGCTAAAGTAACGACATCATTCTTGCCAACAGCCAACACATGCATTGATTGCATGACATTGTATTATGCGTCCCAAATGTCAGAATTACAGATGCCAGTAGAGGAAGTCTTGTTTTCCCTTTACGATGAGGCATTTTCTTGTACCCATTTTGGTAACATTTAAACTGAAAAGTTTTAAGAAATATTCCTCAAATTGTTTTACAAAATTTCATCATAGAGCAATATGTAATTTTAAGTTATGTTATGTTAAAGTTACGTTTGATATATAATATAAATTAGAATGTCTTTTGAATGCACTAGGCCATTGTTTTATTAATGGCTTTATGTGGAATTAGTTCAACTCCATCTTTTATAAGTTCTACGGAAATTTCGATAATGCCTGCTTTTCATCTGCTCCCAAAATTTTTTCACAGCTTGCTATTTTCAAGACTGTCGTAACAAGAAACGTCTGTGTGCCTTTCAATGATCTGTACTCTTGAAGCATATAGTTCAATTCTAAAGTTGTTATGATTTTTTTCGAGTGAGGATAGTTCAGCAAGACAATTTTCACTCAGTTGAAGAATTGGTGGAGTAAAGATGGGTCTGCCTTCGTGTTCTTCAGCAATTTCATCATGAACATGACCTTCCACACCCTACTCTCTCAGGTCTTCACTTTAGATATCGATTCCAATGGGATTCTGCGCTTGTCCAGCAATCCATAAACTGAGAGGACTAGATCTGGTTGATCTCATTCTGTGATTTGACCAAGCTTTCTGCCACTTAATAAGTTTATTGTTAATCTCATGCATATATGTATGATAAAGAGCAGCAATATGAATATCATTAAATGGGTCAAGCAATCCCTCATCTTCAAGAAAATAAATCAAACTGTGATAGTAGGTCAGAACACCTCGGTAACATCCCGCCACAGTCTTTCAATCCTTTGATTGTGTGTGCTACATACAGTCAAGATGCTGTCGCGATTGATTCCTCTTTTCTCCAACATATAGTTTGCAATGTGAACATTTTCCAATCCTTTGTCTGTTCTTACTCGACTTGGCAAGCCACACTCTGTAACTGCATGTACGAAATGCATAAGCAATGTCTCTGCTTTGTTGTTGTTAGTACAAATCAATATGACAGGTAACCTACTAAAGCCATCTATTTCTCCAATAACAATAAAATTCCACCTTATAAGCTTGTGATTTAAATCGATATTGTTATAGCTGGTTCGGTCCCTTAACGTTGTAAATTCGACGATGAAGTTTACCTTCTTCCTGTTTGCTACACCCTGGCTGTCAACACGATGAATGGCATCGCGAAGTCGATGTCGTTGAACTTTTATCCTTTTCCCTTTAAGCAACTCTTTAAACATACTTTCGCCACAATGCGGGAATTATCTGGCCATTTTACAAATATGAACATCGATTTCATTATCAGAAATGTCAGTAAAGCTGAATTTGCTAAGACCGTGAACTCTCATTCGACAATATATTGTGCTTTCAGAAACAGATAAAAATGTCGCAATTTCGCTTATCAAGAAATCTTCATCTAAAAAACTCTCCAATAGCTCCCTCGGTATTTCAAACATAGCATGGGTAGTCTCATTTGGACTTCTTTTTGATGGCTGTGCATTTCCATACTTCGTGCACTCGATTCTCAAAGACATTATTTCACTAGGATTAGATAAGCAGAGTTGCCTAAAATCATGCAATGAAAGTTTGCAAACAATATCTGGAGTAACGCGTTGTTCTATAAAACGTTGAGTATGAGAGCTAATTCCAAGCTTTTCCAAAACTCTTTGCATGTCCCTGATTGACGCCCTTTTTATTCCTATTCCGTATTGCGTATTATACATAGCAATATATCATGTATTTCACTATTGATAATATACATGAAAAAATTTCTCAATTCTAATTGGTTAAGAGCAGGGCTACTAACGCTAATACTATTGCCTATAGACTATGTGACTATTCAAACTGTTTAACAAATCGTTTGTTACAAATTACAAATGGTTCAATTTGCGCCTGTGTTTCAGGCTACTTCATGTTAGACATCACATAACGAAGATATAACGAATTAACCACATAACGAAATAACCACATAACGAAATTACCACATAACGAAATAACCACATAACGAAATAACCACTTAGCGAAATAACCACATAACGAAATCACCACATCTTAAATGCCCAAACTCATGGCAAACATGTTAATAAAATATTTCGGTATTATGTGCCTGCTTGATGTTTTGACTAAGCAATGTTGTATGTCTATACGGATTAATTGTTAAAAATACTTTTCCACGAAATGTATTTGACTCCGCGTATTTAGGCAGAGCCCCCCGTATTAAACGTCACAACTGTCGTTGGTCTATGGCATACACTACGTACACTACATAAACAGACTCAGCTAGTTATGTTAGTACTTGTAAAATTACAAAATTACGATTTCCAGTTTATTACTGTGATCTTATAAAAATAAAATTTCTAAGCATTTTTACTATAACTATGAAGTCCAGTGAAGACAACATACCACTTTTACCATCATCACACCTTTTTAAACAACAGTCCATAAGGCCGAACATCGTAAACACCGTTACCTTCTCTTGCTTTGGTGACAGCCAGCATTTTATACCAGAATTTGTTTAGTTAGCAGGGATGATCTCAAGACGACCCGCGGCAGGATTAACACGGTTTTGCAGAACGATTTTCCTCTGACAACCATTGTGCGTGAATTCATGAGCATACGTAGCAGCAGTATTTACATTTGGACTTGAGTAAACGCCTTCAAAATGGCGTTCTTTCTGTCCAATAGCGTACCCTGCTTTCAAAATAGCTGCTTGTAATTTCGTGCCATGATAAGAAACAGGCCATTCACCTTGCGCTTGTTCTGTTCTCATACCGTCTGCTCCAAGCCATTCCTCGGAATCGTAAATTCCGAGGACTTTAACCGCATATCTATTCCATCCATAAGGGCGTTTGCATTGCTTTCCTCCTCTCATGTATACCTTCCCATCATCAGACGCGCTCGTAAAATCACAGTTGTATCTTGGGTCCAAGTCGCTGTGATACAACTGAATGTCAGGTCCTCCTTCTTTGGCGCGAATAAGAAGAAATATTGTTCCAGACGGTTGGACTCCGAGTTCGGCGATTGTGTGGTGGTCTTGCAAACGAGATTTATTGAACATAAGCTGTTGATCACGAGCTGGGATTTTAGTTTTTATTTCAACTGCTGCTTTTACTTCACCAATTTTGTGGTCTTTAGTAACTTGAATAGTTGTTGTCGATCCTGTTATCCTTTTTATGTGAACATTAAACAGGTTTTTGGGAGGCATATTTTCGAGCAATTGCGTTACGTATGTACAGTAAAACAGTTCATGAATAGAAAGTTTCGGTAGTCCGTGGCCAGCAGGGCTATGAACAACATGAAATCCGAGAATTGCGCTAAATCCTGCGGCAAAAAGGTTCAGATCTTCCTCGGACATTATTTTGGAAGTTTTCTTTTGCACCGTACTTACTATGGACCGATGAACTTGGAGTTCTGATGTGAACAAGTTGTCACTTGCCGCAATTTAGCTACACAGTTTAATGTATATAGTCAAATTCAATACTTAGAATTTATTCTTGTTCGAGAATTAAAATTGTTATGTTGCACTCCCGCTTTCATTTTCCGCTGTTGTAATATATGCATAATACGCATTCGTTCGATGCATAAAATTTTATATAACTATTGTGCTATTGTCCATGAGTGCTTGACTCCTTGTGTTATGTTTGATAAACATCGTGAATCAGTGATTAACAGTTTAATGCAAGGAGCTTTGCAATGGCCCGTATAGATTTAGGACCATGGCTTTATCCAAATGGAATAGTTTTGGTGAATGGAAAGCAGTGTTGAGTATTAAATTACTGAGCAAATAACTGACACTGCGCAGAATGTACTTGTAATGTCGTCAGTATATTTGCCATTTATGTTCGCGAATTCTTCAACTATTTTATTCATATTGCTGGCATCTTTTCATACGGTCATTACATACACGCACTGGGTGCTCAATGATCAAGGTCGCATTAGATCAAAGGTATTTGTTGGCTCTTTGCTGTCAAATCAATATTTGAATTAATAAACAAAATTGTGTCATTTATGATACCCAGATTGTTCTTTTATGTTACTAGAGTTATTAAGCAAAAACTTCATTGGATAAACAATTATCATTTCAATCAAACCATAGTGTTTGTACAGAGAAAGGTCTCTAACCCAAATCAGCTCAGCCAGCAAACAAAAGTCATAAATTACCAGTGTAGCTGAGTGCTTTTATGACGCTATTGATTCGTGAATTGCTTGATTTGTGTCTGGTGAAGAATACTCTAAGTACTGATTTGTTCTTATTTACAGTTAGCAAGGTCAAATCAATATTTACATTAAAGTATAGTTTAGAAGACACAAATTAAGCAATTCGTGGATCATTATCGTCAAAAATAATTATTAAAAAGCCCTTACCTACACCAGTAATGCCTAAACATTTATAAAAATCTTACACAGCATATGCCAATAATGTAGGTCAAATATGGATTGTTGATTTTTACTTGAGAATTGAAATGTTTGAAATTCAAACAAGACTTAGGAGAGAAATGAATCTAAAATGAACATTTAGCAACTCAATTATGGTCGCATGATTTGTAATTTCCAACTTGATAGTAAAAAATTTCCACCATATCTTTAGATTAATCAAGTGTATGTAAGATTTTTCAAATGCATACAGTCATACATTTGAGCTGACTATACATATAACCTTTTATCCATGGATCGAAGCAATTTTTGAGTCATATTAAGCTGGGTACATTGCTATCATTTAATTTTATATACATACCATCACTGTATATTCTGGCAGTCCAGCAAGCCTGTAGATTTGTTCATGCTGTGTAACTTTTTTCATTGGTAGCTATAATAATTTCCTTTAAATTATATTGTTTTTACAGTTAGTTAACGCAAAAATATTTACATACATACATGAATATACTTGTGGGCTGCTTAAGCCACTGGGTATTATTAAATAATTTATGTAGGTACTGTACTTCATTGTTCATTTTGTTTTTATTCATTCTTCATGGTAAAGGCATATGTTGACTAGAATTTAGCCTAGTTTATATTTGGATTAAAGGGTTAGAAAATTTATCTGTTTTTTTTAACCATCTAAACTCAGATTGTTAAGTCATTAATATACTATTTAACACTCACTGTGCTAAATAGCAGGTTAATTTAATTGCATCGTATCAGCTCACAATGCAAAAACTATTAACTTCACTTAATTTGATTTACCCTTGATCCACTTTCAAACAACATATTCTTTGACAAGAAAAATTTGGATTAAAAGTTATTTTAAAAATAAAACAATAGTAACATACAATGTTTAAAATTGCTATCATTATTAGGCTTACCAGATAATTATTAATTTATTTCTCTAAGAGATTTATTAATTACCTCTTTTAGGTGTATTCTGAATTCCAGCTGCGAAAACCAGAGAATCTAGTTATTTTTTTACGCACAGATGATGATTTAATGCACCTAAAACAAGTTAAAACAGAATTAGCAAAGGAAAAAAAGTTTTTGGAAGTAGAAAGAGATGAAGAAAAAGTGGATTTGGTGATGAAATATCATGCCGAAGATGAGGATTGTTTACTTGCAGGAAAGCCATTAAAGAAGTTTGATCTAAAAATCAGTACCCTCATTCCTTTTGATACTCTTGGAATCAGGTAAGCTTGACGATATCATTAACTTCACTTCTATTCAAGTACCTTTGTGCTCCGATCAATTATGTGGAAAATACTGCATTGAATTACTCTATATTTCCGGTTTTATATGTGTAAATTTAAACATTTTTATGTATTGACAACAGTTTTTTAAGAGAATTGTAAAGCTTCAGACATTTGTATACAGATTATGTATTACAAATAAGTGGTTTATATCTTCAGATCAAAGGAAACATCTGCTTTTGTTATAACATAGATGTTTCTATGTATGGTATTTAAGTTTACCATCTCATGTACAATCAACCAGATATTTCTGCTGTACTCAACACATCCTGCTATTTTCTCGAACCACTCTCTCGAACAATATAACTTTGCTGTTCTTATTGCTAACTTGCAAAACTTACTGTTGTATATGACTTGATATTCTTTTTGCCTTCAAAGGGCATGATGCTACACAGTATGCTTGTTGACCTTTTTTCACACTTCTCTGGTCGTTAAATCTAAGTAATTTACCTACTGAAATCTTTTGTTTTCTTTATCTGTACTTTCTATAACTTCATTAAATATTCCTGCTAGTGTCACAGTCCATTGGAACCATCTGTAAATTAAACTGCATAACAGTTTAGTCAGAATGCTACTCTCTTTTGCAATCCTTGTCTTTATCGGTTATCTTTTTACCCTCTGAAAAGTAATTAAATCAACTGAAATAAAAACCAGACACTTCACATTTACACTTACTATTTTTTATTCTCTTTGGGCACTCACCATTGCCAATGCTATTGCCTATTGCTCTTTTATGTCGCCCTTTCGGAATAATGGGGAGCTGTAGAGAAGAGTACGACTACGACAAGGAGTACAAAGTTTGACCTTGTAAGGGAATGGCACGAAGAAGTTTGTTGTCGTTGTCGCTTCGTCAAAATTTAGTTTTAGCTATAAATAACAGAACGAGCTTTTTGTGAAAAATACCGACGTTTGCGAAGCAGCTACTGCTCCGTTTGTCAATAATGATATCAACTAATCAGTAATACTGATTTTGCGAGAACACAGGACTCTTTAGAGTGAAAAATCTTCACTATTTTAAATTTTATGTACGATATATTTATACTATTATATTTATTCACTTTGCGTGCGAAATACATGAAAGTTTTCAAGGTCATATTTTCCTTTTAAATGTACATAAGCGTTCAAAAAAGGTTTTAAAGTAAAGCCTGGATGCTCGAAAATAGTACTGTAAACTAATTTCTTACACAATGAAAATATATACCTACTTTCTTTGCTTAAAAAAACATCCTAGTCGCGACTACGAATTTTTTACAAAACATCGTACTCAGATTGATGACGGCTACGTGTTGTTGTCGCAACAATGTTTTCGCGCCAAAATGACGTAATTCGTACTCGTAGTCGTACTCGTAGTCTATGCCAAAGCTCTCTGATGTATTCACCACAACCACTTACAGTGTGTTTTTTTGCAAAGCCTACCACCATCTGTACTGCTTTGGTTGCACTTCTTGAAACTCCCTTCTTTCTTTACCCGGAACCGTTCATTTATAACTGTTTTATAGATAATCCTTAACATAGTTGTAACCTTTTTGTTGTTGTTTTTTTGTAATTTTAGATACAGTGATCACATTGACTTTACAAGTGAATTGCCACCAACAAAACAGGCTCCTTTTTGCACCGTCAGTCTACCATTCAGCATGATCACAATGGACCATCTTGAAGGACTGGTAAAGAGAGACGAACTTAAGAATTACTCTGAAAAGGAACTTAACAGACATTTGTTTGCCGAATATCAGCTGGAAAGTTTGGGTAACCGAGTAAACTTCTCACTAAGTAAGGTAATTAATTTAAAGTGCCTTTATCATGGTGAAGTAACTTCTTTAGATAGTTAAATTGATTTTAAGAACATTTGCAATATATTTGATTGATCAAAAATTTTATCTTCATCGACTTTTTTGGCCTAGAAGACCTAGAATTGCGTGACTTGCTTTCGTTAATAGATTTTTAGTGGGAAATACATAGCGTCCGAACGGTTCAAATTTTCTCGTTTACTATAAACCTGTACTATGAACGCTTCCTATATCTTCAATTTATTTACGTCAATTGATAACATTTTCTTCCTCAAAAATATGGTGCAAATGTTCTTAAAATTTATTGATAAAAAAACACAATGATATGCATGCTGTGATTGGTCTATGCGTATGTATATCATTCATAATTTATTGCCCCGTAGATTATTATATTTGCCTATAATGTTTGCATATATGTACCTATGCAAAACAGATCTGATGTCAACCAATAAAATCAATCAATCAATGAAAGAGAATTTGCAAATCAATCATAAATATGTTTTAGAAGAAAATTAAAACGTTTGTTTTTCAAATTTGTCTTTTTCACGTTGTTATTTTATGGTCGAAGGTTGCACTGGTCTGCTATAGAATTCTCATAAAGGTCCCTCGTTTTGCATTAGCCTATGCAAACATCCATGATACGTACTAATGAATTATTAAAAAAAATATCATTTCCATATACCAAATAGCTATAAAGTCTTTAATGAGATGTTTAATAACGTTTAAGTAATGTGGCTAACTTATTGCGTTAGATGAAAGGTATGTTTCTACAAATAAAAAAACAAATTAATTTCATTATACTTAAATACTCGATCAAATTTGTTTATTTTACATCAGCACGCAAATAGACTCATTTATAGCATTTATCAGTGCAATTCATTTTTATTACGAAGTAAAAACATAAAAACGTGTGTACTGATATGTCTATATCTGAGTTTTCTTTAGCTTTTGCAAACCGATTTCAGCTTAATTAATTTAATCAATTGAATACTCGTAACGAGAATTTCTCAAACGTCTCCTTGGTTTGCATAAGCCTCGAATAATGTACAATGTACAATATACAATAGCTTTGGCAATAAACAATCGGAAGTTGACTCGTTGAATCCTAGGTAAATGACAAAATTCAGTCGTGTCGAATAAAGTTATGGATTTCAAGTTGATTTGATTATGTTAACTTTGTTCTTGTTTAGAACGAAACCTCGTGGGTATTGTTGAACGTCGCAGCTCTATATTGGAGGATTAAGGGCAATGCGCTTGAAGCAATCGAATGCTTAAGAAGAGCTTTATATTATTCTCATGGGTTAGTAACAATTTTAAAAATTTATTAAAGTTCTCGAACTCAGGTTTGCTTTCAGTTGTATACGTGTCCTTGCTTGTTTTGACGTCATGTTACACGTCACATTGTTGTTTCCCATTGTTTGTTAGAGCTGTGTATCATTTCCATGGGTGAACCCATTAGGTCAACGCTTGAACATTGCGATTTTTCTTGCAGCCGTTGCTGTGTCAGATAGCTACTTCTAACTTTACAAAGGACTATTGTTATTGAAATTATAGTTGTGCGATAAGTTGATAGCATATTTATACAAGACTAAATTTCAACTGTCATCTAGCAGTTGTGTAACCAGTCATTAATTAGGTTGTGCTATGGAAATAGTTTGTTTTATACTTACTTTAAAGCATTATATTTCTGAAGAAATGAATTATGGTAAGGATCTGAAATTTGCATAGCACATTACTGTCTTTGTTATCGAAAAAAGGTTTTTTTTTATATTACGAAGTTTCCAACCAAAAGATGTTGCTTTTGCACACTTTACGATTTGGCTCAATAATAACGGTCATTTTAAAAAAGCGTTTGTACCTTCCAGTTAGTGGTGGTATGAAAATAGCTACATAGCCTTGTTAGTTTTTGCATTGAATATAGATTATAACATAATCTTACAGTATAATACATAGATTATAACATAATCTTACAGTGTAATACATAGATTACAACATAATCTTACAGTATAATACTTTTTCATGTACTTTCATTTTGCATTAACTGTATACTTGCGAAAACATTTATCGTTGCCAAACTCGAAAGTTTCTGTAATTTACCTTAAGTTTTTATCAGTTGTATACGTATTTTGACGTCATTACACTTTGGTTCGTATTAGCTATGTATTTTAGCAAATAAAAAGTTATTTAGGTAATCTCTGTTGGATAATGCAATTCTTCGCTCAAATGATATTTATATCATTTATTAGACAATATAGTTGCAACGGTAGCTCAATGTCTTGTTTTTCTTTTTAATGCCTCAATTATTATGATATTGGTGTGTGATAGAAAATTTATGAAGAGTAGGATTTGTTGCAATTGTTACATCTTTTCCACAATGACAAATAAAACCGCTGATGTAATGAAGTGTATGATAAGATTCGTCAGAAAGTTAGGAAAGTTGCGCAAAATTTACAATAGGAGTTGCGCAAAATGAGCAAATGAATTTCGTACTCAAAACTATGCTGAAAAACATAGGTATGTTTGTTAAAGACTGGAAGCATTGAGAATAACAGTTATTTGTGTTGTTCTCATTTCAATTTTCTATCTGAGGTTGATGATATATGTACAGGTTATTCACGTGATGCAAGCATTCTCGTACGAAGTTCTCTTCATTACCTCAGAGATAAGAAAATCAGCTGGTTTTCCTTAGGAAATATCTTTGCTGTAAGTTATATAGGTTTTTGTTTTATTTATTGTTGCTGTAAATTAAATAAAAAGACTGTGTTTGCACAGGCTTTGCAAACCGAGGACACCTTTGGTAGAACTCGAGAGCAGATCAGTGCAAGCCCGAGACTGAAGGTCGAGGGTTGCACATGCTTAAGAGTTCTCACAAACGTCTCCGAGGCTTGCATAAGCCAGCGCAAACACGAAAAACATCTTTTATTTCATTTATAAAATAAAAAAAATGCGAAAAAAGGCAAACATTTTAAATTTCCCTCTAAAATGTATTCATGATCGATTTGAAAATTCTTTTTGAATGATTGATTGTTTTTGATTGATTTGATTGGTTGAGCTCAGATGTGCTTTTCACTGGCTGATGCAAACTCAGCTCTAGACAAATCAGCGCACGAGTTTCATTGTGTTTATTTTATAAAATATATTGAGTGCTCTTTAAGTAGAGACTATACGTAGGTTTCGCAACGTATACGTGTTTTGTCACACATATCATACTTCTCCGTGTCAAAGATTATGCCTGGCATGATGTGTGCAATGCATCTAGTCGTACCATATACGTAGCAGCGTGACGTATCAATGAATTAAATCTGATGATATGATCATATTAAGTGCCAAATTTAGACGTTCCGTATCGCCAGCATATTTTAACAGCATTTTGTTACGTATCATAACAGTTTTGTCTATTTAGTCACTCAAATGTGGCAATTTTTAAAGTCCGAATGGAGTACATTTTTCCTTACGTCATACATAAGTCAGAAAATTGATAATGACGTTACAAACTTATCTTCTAACTCCATTGATACCTTCTAAAGTGCTTAATTTTGTTATAGTCATATAGCCATGGTATTTGTGTATTGTAAGAATCTCTTGCTTAGTTAAGGGGGCATATTTTAAACCCAATATTTCCGACGAATACTATTTTACTTCGATTTAAAAGAATGGGCATTAATCAAAATTAGCCTACTGAACATAATTATTTGATGCGCGCAATGAGTATGCGCTTATAATTTCTTAAAATAGTTGTGCTTAAACCAAATATTTAATACAAAATTAGCGCTGATCAAGTTGCTCATTGCCATGTAGTAGAACTATTTATCGTTCATACGGCTCACGCTTAAGTAGACTGCGCAAGCTGAGAGGATTTTTTAATAACATTTGGACAAGTTCGCCAGTTACTCCAAATCAGTGCAGGTTCATCCAGTTGATTATTGCCTTTGTTATAAAGTCAACCAGCTGGTCAGGCGAACTGCGCATGCTTTAGTGTACTGTGCATGCTTAGTTGATTTTTTAATAGTTTGTGACTGAGCGATCTAGTTTATTTGAAATCGATGCTAATATAGTCTATATGAACTGTAACAATTGGTCAAATAACTGTGCATAGTCATATGACTTTTCTGATAAATTTTGACTTGGCGAACTAGTTACTCGCGAGCAGTGCAAACCACATTAATTAGTAAGTTAAGTCGACTGCAAGTGTTCAGTTATACAGGATGTTTGAAAAAACGTAACTCGCACAAACAAATGTATATGCATTAAAGTTAAACCCGCTTAAGATATTTTAGTCTGTAATGGCTGATTGTTCCGCCTGGTTAATTTAGTTACACGCTAGTTTGTCCATGTTTGTTGCAACTTTTAAAAATTTGATTACATGTGGCTGTTATTACTCAGTCAATGTTGGTTTGATTTTACAAAGCTTTTGTGTATTGTATTTGAGATGGAAATGAGTGCATGGCAGTACATCTAAATTTTGCTTTCACTAATAGTGCGCAAACCCCCATGAAATCCCAGAGGTGCTAAACAGCTGTCAAGCTCGTTAAACTGTTGTGAATACTAACTATACATTATATTGTAAATATTAATTTTTGGGAATTTCCAAGATTTGATTATAAAAAGTAACAATAAACAGTGCGGTCCGTTGTCTAAAACACAAGTGTTCATGTAATTTAATACATGTCACAAGCGTGTTGTGTTGATCTATCGTTTATGGCAGGGGTCTCCAAACTTTACAGCCAGAGGGCCACATGAACTCTCATCCAGCATGTTGAGGGCCGACGAACCGTATACCGCTGGTCAAAGAGCGAATATTTTAATAAAACGACGTACTTTTTAAAATAGACATGTTTCGACATCTCATGATGCCATCTTCAGTATAAGTGAAATAATAAATGATACAAGGTTTATATAAAAGTAATATGATACATAAATTACAACAATAAAAGGAAATAAGTATCATTTATTATTTCACTTATACTGAAGATGGCATCATGAGATGTCGAAACATGTCTATTTTAAAAAAACTTGTCGTGTATATTAAATCCGCAAAACGAAGTACATTACACAAGCTTCATTAGTTAAGAAAATATTTATTCAAAATTTAAAGGTTAAATTTCAACCAAGAGTAATATCATAAAAAAATCACAATTAGTCTGTTCAGTTTTCTCAATGTGAATGGTGAAATTGGCTTTCCTCAGTGTCTCTGCGGGCCGGATTGAGAGTCCCAACGGGCCATTGTTTGGAGACCCCTGGTTTATGTGGATGACGTTCCCTGAACGACATCTTAGAGAAGTCGAAAAGCTTTTTTGAAACACAATTATAAAAAAATGCTTTTCGCGAATCTGATGCGAGGGTTGAGAACAATCACGCTACATGCAATCTAAGTTAGAGCGTTAAAAATACAGAAAAAGTTAAACAATTACTTGGTCTTATAACTAAAGAACATTTTCTAATCTTAAAAAAGTTAATTTGACGTAAATAATATTAAATATATAGTTTTATTTGAATCATGCTCATCGAATATACTTCATTTTGTGTATATATACTTGACAGGCTACCCATATGTATGCACTGCGTACCTATTTTTATAGAAATGAATAAAAGCTTTACTTCTGGAATCTGTCAAGTTTATCGTATTTATACGGTTTCAGTTTTTGTGTGCAACAGCAACTGTAAACCGCGTGTTTCTCGTGTAAAGTGGCTGAAGTTCTAAGTGTGTGAATATTTTTTGTGCTTGGTGTTTGTAAAATATTTTGTCGACATGATCAAATGCAGTAAAACAAAACCAAGATATTAATAGCCGTATGAAAATTATTGCCAAAAATTGCTTATAAAGAAGTCACCATAAAAGTTAGTTTTACTTTATGGGTAAATCATACTTATATTTCACTTAAAATTTCTCTCTTTACTTCATAGAGCCTCGGGCAGTATGCGTCGGCAGAAATTTGTTTTAGAGAAGCAATAGAGATACATCCAGGTTTTGAAAACGCAAAACAAAGGTTACACGCAGTGCTGTGTGAAAAAAAGTTGCAAAGAGCCTTGGAGCAACAGCATGAGTAAGTAGACATACGTATACATTTTTGGTTCACTTAATATCTTAAACTCTGCGCACAATTACTCTTAATAGATTAAACTAAAGCAGAAACTACCGTATGTCATTAACACTGACATGCATTGTGCTTTTATGTAAGTGAATTTAAAATGTTCCAATCGATAATCGAAATTCGACAACGGTCGTCGTAATTATGAATGTAAACGGAACATAATCTGATGATTAACAGAATTTCGTTTTTACTAGCGCGAGTGGTAAGGCTGTAAATTTCCACAACAATAAACAGTTGCCCGATTTATACAAGCGTTAAAGATGTCTTAATAACTTAGTTATTGAAGAAAGTTTTTCATGTTATTGAGCTAAAAATACTATAGTTTTGGACTCGCTATTAAATTACGTAAAATATTAATCTGAACATTCGACCAACAACAGTATTGCAACACATTATCAACAAGCTTAAATATATTTTTCTTTTTTATTTCACAGCATTTTGAAGTCAATATTAGTAAGAATGGAAAACTACCAAGAAAAACAAAAAAAGTTTGAAAATGACGAAAATGTTATGTTGAGTCGAGTCGTGCCTGAAGAATTACAGTTGAAAAAGCATTACATCATTGAAAAAACTCTTGCACAGTTCGAGAGGACATTGTAAATTATAATAAATTATTTTCATATTTTTGTGGAAATGTTACAAATTTTGTAGGTACAGTTTTTTAAGGCAATTTAAGAACTTTATTCGATTACAATTGTCTTGTGGTCGACTTTTTTGTATAACGAACGTGATGTAAAGACATGTCTAAAACCCAGATTGTCATCAGTTGTACAGACGTAAATAGTATAATATATATATTTTAATTTTATGGGTGTTTATAAATGGTTTTTCATGGTGTTAATTTAGTGCGGTGGAAGGCGTTTTCATTTTCAACTGCTAGTGTATTTTGTTAAATATTTAATTTTAATCAATTTCAAAATCTCTTCGTTTCCACCTAATTTTTATTTATTCACTGTCGTTTTAACATAAACATATACAAAAGCGTTGTGCATGTTAGACCTATCTTCACGCGGATCGTGTGCTTGAAAAACGTAGAAAGTCCTGTAAAAACATCAATTAGAAATCTAGGCCTGCAAAACATGGAAAATTGCCTGCGGCTCTAGAACGTCCTTGGAAATGAAGATTTCGTGTTGTTTTGTTTTGGCAATACAGCCTAATATGCGTTATTATATATTTCATCATGAATTTCGTCGAAAAGATTCCTAGAATGACGATCTCAAAAGGACTATAAGTCCTACACTAGGAAGAACGGTAGAAAGCTTTAAACTATATGATATGCTTACCAATAAAATTGCAAAAACCTATTGATATTTAATGTTTAGGGCGTTAATAATTTTTAACAGAAATGTTTAACAAAATTTGAAACAATATGTATGTCGTTCTATAAATTACCAAAGATATTGCATTATATTCCCCAAATCTTTTAATCACAGGAAGAATTTTTTAATCGTTGATAGAATTTTTCCAGCACCCTAGTATATTCTAATTAAAAAGTTACTTTGATTCATCTATGAATTATAAACCACATAAACAAAGTAGGACGATTTTCATAATAAGCGTTTAAGGATCACCATGCAAATGGTCAGCTCAAGGAAGGATTGACGGTTTCAAACAATTCTCTGATTCTCCTATGACCGTTTCCGAAAATCGTCAAAAATGAAAAAATGTAGTTTTGATTAGGTAATTTTGACACATAGGTTTATAGAAGATTTCAGAACTTGTGAAAATAACCTTGTGACATAACTTTATAACATACAGTTTTTTTGACGCTGATTTTTGACTAAGGCAACAGAATTACTTTGGTGCGAAATCAATATAATAAAATTTGCCATGAAAGTCGAATTTAAAATCGGCACTGTATCACTTGGAGACGGAGATTTTTGTTTTTTTTAACACCATTAAAAACAATATTTTTTTAAAAAAAGTAGACCTATTGGCGATATTTTTTAAGCTAGTGTGAATAAATTATGTTATTTCAAATATTTTATTATTAACTGTACATAACTAGATGAAACCAGATTTTTTCCACGGAAAAGCCTTTTAAAAAGATATTTATTTACTTATAAATAAATATATTTAGAAACAGCACTGCGTATTTTATAATAGGTTTGAGGCAGGATAGTAAAGATAACGTTACCCGCGGAATGTTCTGTAGAAGTGTGCAAAGCACTTTACGAACATATGGTGACTAATCATGAGCTAATTAAATCCGATGTCAAAAACTACAATTGGCTTGCGACTATTATCAATGTATAGTAAATGTAAAATAGTTGTAGGACGTCTAGCATAATTACGTTCACACGAGAATATTCAAATGTATTCGACAACGAATGAATTTTTAAGTAGAAAATTTGAGTCCACTTCAAATATATTTGATGAAAGGCTCTTATAAAATATAAAACTTAAAGGAATATATCCTTTTTTACATTGAAAAATCAGCCAGAGTTTTCTATTGAAAAAAGTTTGAAGAAAGATAGTCTTTTTTGTGATATGTGAGTTGGAACGAGGTAGTTTTTATAATGTGTTTTAAGGACTAGTTCCATAGAAGCTTTATTTTTTGTTTTTTGGAAATGTTCATAAGACAATTAGCGTAGTATCATCAAATTTAAGACTTTTTGCTCATCATTATAGCTTATCTGCATGTATCAGGTTTACTTTATAAATGCACTATACATTCAATGTAGCATCTGATATTGAAGACCAGCTTGATTTTTGCCAATCCAAGTATTAAATACCCTTACGATTGGCCAAAATTTAAGAAATTTGTTAACAAGTTGTTTGTTACGAAAGACTTAACTATGCCACAAAAAGAGCCAGATACCTTGAAGAAAACAGATGGTAATGCAAAGATTGAAACAACGTACATTATTAAAATTAGATGAACATGACATAAAAGGATACATTCCTGTAACAAGTTCAAACTAAAATTAACTACATTATCTCATGGATGTATTTTTTTTATGTTTGTCAGGTATGAATAAAAACGTTTAATATATTTCCATTTCTTAAACTCAGAGTTTTTCAATATCGAATGCAATAGCAAATGCTTTTTGTATATATTTAAAGCAACAAAAAATTTGTTGTTATTCATGGAATTTAATGCCTGGTGGACACTGTTGCAAGACTCATACAACAAGCACGTAAAAATAGCACTTTAGACTGTTTTCCACCTTTAATTAGTTCATTAAACAGGAAAACTACATTTTGTCATATAATTTTTTATACAGCTAGCAATGAAACATAACAATATGCATTAATGATGAAAAATCATGCGAGTAAACTTTTTAATTTTACTCCTTTCAAGGAGTAAACAATTAAGGAATTAATATAAGGATTTAACAATTTATTATGTGAAATGTAATTATCTTAATATTCATATATTGTAAATTAGTTTTTTGGAATATAGACACGTTTCGGCATCTCACGATGCCATTTTCTTTTTAGAGAATAATTGCATATATAAAATAAATAGTTTAAGTAATATGATACTTGTTTGTAAATGTAGATCGTCCAGGTATAGTCCTGAGAAGGACTGTTTTTGTTGTTGTTGACTGACATTTCGACAACCTTAGCGGTAGTCATCTTCAGAGTCAAATGAAGATGACTGCCGCTAAGATGACTACTTCATTTGACTCTGAAGATGACTACAGCTAAGTTTGTCGAAACGTCAGTCAACAACAACAAAAACAGTCCTTCTCAGGACTATACAAACCTGGACGATCTACATTTACAAACATGTAACGATACTCCGGGGTTCAAACCATTTACTTTAATATGATACTGTACGAAAAACATAAATATATAAATATGGATATACTATGACAGCTGTTGAGTCATGCTCATAAACCACAGAAACATGTTAAGAAAATAGTATGTGCGTAGTTTGGTTTATCAAAATATCCGTTCCCACAAGGCTAACAGCCAAGGAACAGTTATTGACGTTGGTTAAATTTCCTTATGTACCACATATAGCTTAAATAGAGGAACTATTCCGATCAATAATATTTGTTATTTGTAATGGGCTATAAATACTGCTCTGTAAAATAATAAAAATCAGTTCGATCATTAAGTTCACTCGTGATTGCTACAAGAAGAGATATGGCAAGTAACTCGAACTCAACAACAACAATAAAAATAGGTACGCAAAAGGTACATGTGGGTAGCCACAAAATAGACAGCAAATAGTTTATGTACAATGTGCTAAACAAAGCAACAATAATCTTGCATTAGGGTTTTTTTAGCATAACTGTGGCGAAAGTTTTAAAGGTTACTTTGTTTCTATTTTATTCTAAGATAAAGCTTTGCTTGCTCATTGAAATGAAAAAATACAAAGCTTCCATATTTTTTTGTCTAATAATAGAATGATTTATAAATGATTCTATAAAATAATAAATTCATAAAATGAAGTCACTAAATAATTAAGTCACTAAATAATGAATAATGAATTCAATTACAATTATGATGAATAATAAATAATGAAGTCACTAAAATAATGAATTCATTTTTAACCAGACATTGAAAAGTCTGCAATATGTTTATTTTTTACACTTTTTTTAAGAAGCAAGCCATGGTATAAATGTGTACTTACCTATATTAGTTGCTGACAAAATGAACTTTCTCCAATCTGAGCTTGAATCGGGCATATAAGTCTCTTTTCAAAAAAATCATATCCACCCAACTGAATTTTGCTGTGTTGCATCAAAATGCAAACTTTACGTTAAAATTCTAATACCATTAAACATATTTTTACAGAAGTATTTAGTTCAATAAAACTACAACATTGTGCGTGGACATTTGATGTCCACATTAGTAATAAAGGAATAAACTGCATTACATTTGGACTTGATTAAAAGTATAAAGCAGACAAATGGCAATACGGAGAACTAAAAAAAACATTGTCTTAAACTCAAAATTACTTGCGATGGAAATTGTTTACTCATTCACCAGCATGCCTCACGTGAAACCTAACCTTATTCCCAGTCACATCAGCCTGATTATTGCTGAAAGTTTTCGTGATTGGTTCTCTAAGAGTATGCTGGTTGGTATTCGGAAAGCGTGCAAATATGAGCAATCATGTTTTATGTCAACAAAAGCGGCGTTTTCTATTTACCTTTCCTTTATAAGTGGCAGATCTATAAAGATGGTGAAATAAATTTAAAGACTTTTTCACAACGCTGCTAGTTAAGCAAATAGAATTTGCGCTAAATTATTGGAAATATACGTCCATTAATATAATCTTTTATACCATGGATCCGCTGCTGATTTCAATATAAGGCTTTGAGACAGGTAAAGTTGAGCGAGCAATATTTTAAATGTGATTATATTACATTTTCAATTTTCACTAAAATGCACGATTATGTTAACAATTACAAGCGAAATGCTTATGTATAAGCGCAATTGTACGACTTTTCTTTCGTCAACTTGTCTATTGTGATTGATCAAACAATTTTCAACGATTTGCTTGGTTTAAGCAAAGGTGACTCGATCGAAGTATACTAATCGGGTTCTTTCACACAATCCAAGACAATTTTTTTCAGATTAGGATTTTCCATTGCGGCTGCAACTCTTTCCTTGTCGTTGATCTGTTTGTTTACTGCAAGAAAAATGACAAAATCGTATGGATAACTACTACAAAAACGGAATGTGCGAATCATAAAAAATCTGGCCACCACTCAGTTCTTAGCAAAAAAATTGCGTCAAGAAGCTGAACACTCGACATTCGAAAATAATTTTTAGCAGTTTGATTGCGACGTGGGATTTGTCATAATGCTGAAAATTCATAGCAAATGGCATTGCAACGAAAGTATTTTGAGTTTCAATTGTAGGGTAATTTAAAATTAGTAAAAATAATTTTTGAGACCCTGTCGCGAGTAATTTTTTTGCAACAAAAAATTTCCTTCTTTTCGTTTTAGCTAACTATCACGAAAACATGTACACACAGCATATGTAAATAAACGTCCAAATGCTTTTGTTATTGCAAAAGTTAAACAAGCAGTTTACCAAATGAATTCTAGAATCACGAAATTCTGAAAATATTCTATTTTTACCATCATATCACACAAAAATAACTCAGAAGTCAATTTAAGTGAGGACAGCATTAGCTACTGCTGTTCTAATGCTGTCATGCATGAACTCAGATACTTGTTTGAAATGTAGCTAATCGAGGGTAACAAAAATTAAACATACTTTCCAGCTCGCTGTTGTGCGTTCCTTTCGTCAGTTCAATATCCAACTAAAACAAACATTAAGAAATTTAGAAAAACAGTTGTGTTAATGATTTATAAAAAGTCAAAAAGAAGATATCACGAGAAAAAAATTAAGGCACACAACGAGCAGTTACATTGAGTGGATGTCATTTTTAGCACATAGAAAATTGTTAACAAAAAATCCGATAGATTTCTTTACATTAATTCGTTTTTTTGTGATGACGAATAATATTGTTTTGTACATTCGTCGTCATCTCCGGAAAATGCCGTAAGCTAATAGCTACTTACTATGTATTCAGTATTTCGATTAAAAAAGTAAAACAACTCGTCTTTCATTCTGCCGATTGATCCAGAGCGAGTTTTTCGTGAGGAAACTCTAAATTTGGCGTGTTAAACGTAATTAAAGTGAATTTTATCATTAAGCTTGCTCGGTAAAGGTTTACGGACGGTAAAAGTGTACTGTGCGTAAGGTCAATCAGACATTGAAAACGAATCCAATACAATATACATATTATGGTATAAATATAATACGTTTGCTATGTGAAACTGTGAAGCGTCTGTTGGTGTTCAATGATCCAAGCAGAAGTTATATTCAATCAGCACAGAGTCGTCGGTGGCATATTCCTATTAAACTGTTTTCTTATTTTGAGAAATATTAACTAAAAATATCGTATCGCGTTTAAGTAAATTGACTTGTATATCGATTGTGTTACGTATTCAAGAGGAACGAAACACGAGCTTTATTCATAACTTATATTATCGAATTATCTTACTCTTCACAAACTTCATAAAAAACTAATAAATTAAAGTCAAGATACTAGTCAAATGCCGGCTCACAGGCGATAACGTATATCACAATTATATGTCGTTCAAGCGTGCGGTACAAGCAACCTATGTACTTAGTCGTTAGTACTATGTTATGTCTGGTATTTAGTCCAATTCGGTATTAATTGCATTTCTTATACACTGTTTGGTTCATTCATACAGACATTGCAGACGTTTGCAATAAACACAAACTCGTTGGAATATAGACTTTTCAAGATGTGATTAGCAAAAGGAAAAGTAATCAGCACGGCCCGTTGGCTAAAAATACAAGTGTCTAATGTCTGTATATATATAATAATATCAAGTACTTTCGGTTAGTACAATACAAGTGTCTATATATGTAGTATAATTCATGTCATAAACCTGTTGATTTATCGGTTGTATGAGCGACATCTCAGACTCTTCAGAAAACTGTCTTGAAACACAGCATTAGAAAAATGTTTTTCAGTGGAAAATAATCTTAAAAGTCGCGAGAGATCTAATTGACGTCACTTTCTTCATGCGAGAGTCGTGCGCCCAGTCACGTGACATTCAAGCTAAGCTAGAGCGTCGAAAAAAGCAGAAAGAATTAAACAAACACATGGGTCGTTGAAATGAAAAAAATTGAAATCGTGAATAAGTTTGACTTAAATAATATTAAATATGCAATCTTATTTGAACTATATTCATTAAATCTATTTCATTTACTAGCCATGCACTTGACGGGCTACGCACATGTACGCTTCGCGTACCTATTTTTCATATGTATAAAAAAAGGTGTATTTCCATCTGCCTATCGTTTTCCGCCGCGAGAGTCAAATTTGCCAATGACTACGACGAAGCCGAAAAAAACAATTGTCGCTTTCTCCATAAAATATCGCAGATTGTTTTAAAGTAAATGGTTTGAACCCGGGTGTATCGTTACATGTTTGTAGATGTAGATCGTCCAGGTCGGCATAGTCCTAAGAAGGACTGTTTTTGTTATTGTTGACTGACGTTATTTGATATAAATTTACAGTATTTAAACTTGTATTGAGGGTCTGTTTACATGAGGCCTACAAGAAGGGCTAGCCCTACTAAGCGAGATCTTGCCTGTTTGAGAGTTGAAAAATCGGAAATAAAGTGCTGAGCATCCAGCATTTTTGTTCCTGAAAAGCCAGGAAATACAATATGGCGTTATATGGAGAGAAGATAAATTTTCGGCTTTTTTGCTTGATTAGGGGCAAACAGCGATTGCTACAGTCAGAATTTGGTGGTTTATACTATTATGAATAACGAAATGATGAAAATCCCATCGCCATACCGTAAAATTTGTGAGAAATCTCAAAGGCTTCTTTTCCAGATGTGACCATAGTCACGTGACATAAAATCTAACCATTGGCATTAAGCTTATTAAAAAAGGGTTGTACATTTATTGGCTCATTTCATTGAAAATCAAGCACAAAGCACTTAAAATCTGGTGTAAATTACTTAAAATCTTACTTACTTACTTACTTACTTACTTACTTACTTACTTAAAATCTCGTATAAATTTATTGCAAACAATACTGCATATATGTAATTTTAGTGTAACTACGTTCATTCATGTATTTTATGTTATAACAATACGCTTGACAAGCTACTCAAATGTACGCTGACGTAGCTATTTTTATCAAATTTTCCCAATAAATTGCTTAGTAACTTATCATGCGTTTTTTATGCCTGGAAAGACTATTGTACAAAAAAACTCAAAAAACGGTTGAACAAATTGCTTTATTGCCTCAGGTTTCTCAAATTAAGTTGGTTGCTGCAGAAATCAAAAGTCTGGCAAGAGAAATATCACTGTACTTACTCAATCAAGAGAAAAAATATCGTTGTATTTATTCGAACGCAAAGAGCGTGTGTGTTAAAGGACAAAAACAACATGCATAACGGACAAACGAAGATATGATCTTCGCACTTACGGGAAAACATGAGCCCAAGAAATTGACCTGCTCTCCACTGTGTGACTTCATAGCTCAGTTGGTTAGAGCACTGCACCGGCACCGCAGAGGTCATTGGTTCGAATCCCGTTGAGTCATCTGAATTTTTCAGGTTCACGAGACAATTGCTTAAATTGTCCAGCAAAGTGCGAAGATCATGTCTTCATTTAATTTCAAACACCGCACTGCATATAACATTCTTTCATAGGACAAACAAAGTATTAATAAACTCATTCGATTTTTCGTTGCTTAGCTCTGTTCCTAAAAATTCAATCAAAATCTGTCAAGCTTCGTAGCTCATTTGCTCAGTTGCATGCTGTGCGATCGTAAAGCCCATACGGAAAAGATACCTTGACATTGGCCAACATTGATAGCTGCTTTTGAGTGAATGTATGGTTTGAAATTTAATTCATTGCTCACAGGAATAAATTTGTGTTAGTTGTGTCTACTCCTACTCGTAAGCATTATCTTAAAAGCAATTTTCTTTATAATGACACAATTTGTTTATGGAACATGGTGAAATCTCGTAGTGGTAGCACTACTCGTTATACAATCTAAAGCTGTCAAAAATCACAAAGAGAACTGCATAATTTGCAAATCAAAATAAAATAGATACTCGGTGAGTGCGTGAGTTATAAAATGTTGTTACTTTAATGAAAGAAAAATGGAAAAAATTTTTTTTAACAAAGCAGAGCACCATGTTAATTTTTTACCATGTATTTGAAAACTTAAGCGAAAAGTTTGAAAATTCATGATTACATAGAACATATATATTGTTGAGATAATAACACGCTGCCACTACATGTACTTGTTTTCCATGCTTCCTACAATTTTGATATTACACTTTCTACATTACATTCTACATCACACATAGGCATATTAGCGAAAACATTTAGTTTTTGCCTATGTACTTTTTGTTTTACTACTTTATCAAACATTGGTATCAACTGATTTGATTCATGTCTCCGAACAAACGCTGTTTGCAAAAAATAAAGAATGGTGCAAAGAAGCGGAAACACAAATGGCAAAGATATAGCATTTAAACTTTATAAAAAACATCTTAAAGCCGATAATCTAATTTTTGCCATGTTCACTACCCAAGGTTACGGCAGAGGCTCACTTTCGGCAATTCTCAGCGTGACCAAAAACTTCAAAGGAGTGTCGCTTCTGCTTAGTTAGCTATATATTCTGTGGTAATGAAATGCCCCACTTCTGGTCAAACAAATTTTTTAATATTACTTTTAAAAATGTGTTATCGTGCGCATTGAAGAGCAAAAATTGTTGTCTTACCAATGACATTATATTATTTGCATATAGTTTTCAAAATTAGCGCAGTTCTGTATCAGAAAAACTCAAATAAAGACAAATAACAATGGCAAAGTGTACTCTTTGGCGGCTGACAAATATTCGAGTTCTCGGAACATACCGTCATTTAAGCAGGTTTTTTTACGTCATAGTGTTTACTATCGATCAAGCAATCTTTCCCATACGACGAGTTATATGATTTTCTTGCTGACGCAAGCAAATCCTCAAAAACTGGCAGAGCACATTCTTTACGCACAATAATTTGTTGCTTTTTTTTTTAGTGTCACTTCGTCCATTCATGTTACATTAATCATTATAGTTTGGGTTATAATTAAAGTCGATGCCAACGGGAACCAGAACAAACACAGAGAGAATTTATGGGAAACAAAAACTCGCGAGGTGAACAAACTGTACCCTGAAATTTTGTCTGCGAGAGCGCTTTTTCAAAATGGCCGCCATTTCGAAATTTCATTTAGTAAGTTGGCCATAGTAATTGAATAATACATTAATTTTGCACAAGAGATATCATATGAAAGGAAAGACAATTTCGCAAAAGACGTTGGATTTGCTGGCAATCTTGACAGGGTTTTCATGTAAAAACGATAGCCAAGAACTGAATTCATCTTATTTACCAACATCTTATACTGCTGGAGGATTGAACGTTCTAAACAACTTCCCCCTGGGTGTAATGAATGAATTGTATGTGTACTACCCAGTTAAAATTTTGGAACGTGCTTGGGAAAAACGGCTGTGTGGCTTTTCTAGACTAGTATTTTACAGTAGGAAACGAATGTCTTAAGTAAACATGCTTACTTCAGAGAATTTTCGCACAGGGGCACTTTCTTCAAAATGTCTGTCTAAATTCCTACATGAAGTTTATAATGGATCGTATACAAGTTTTTTATCAGGCCATATTTGATCTTTTTCATGCTTTTCATTAGAGTTGTACACATTTAATTTACAATTCCAGCAACTACATGACTACAAAGAGGTCCAAAATGAGGGGCGGGCGTATTCTAAATGGCCTCAAAAATCCCATTTTAAGTTTTTATTTAAATCCCGTTAAATACAGGCGTAATATATGGTTCATTGTACATGAGGCCGATTTAATCCCGTTTGGAATAAGTTTAAAAAAAACATTTTAAAATATTTCGAAACTACATTGAAACGTAGTTTATAAAAAAGATATGAAATGAGGGCACTTTTCCAAATTTTCGCCAAAGATTAACAGAAAATGTGTGTAATGTATGAAACAATATTTTCTTCCAAAAACTGTCAACGAAATGATCCATATTATTTGCAGATTTAAAACATATCGCAGACGTGCATCACCATAAACGAACAAACACAAACATAGAAATAAACAATGCAAAACTCAAGAAAAAGCACCTTGTATTTCCACGTTAACGCTTCTTTTAATTTCGCTTGAACACACAATCCTAAAGAAGCAAACAATAAAATGAAGCAAGTGCATGGTAAATATCCATGGTAACTCATTCTGCGTACGAAGTTTATAGTGCAAATTTCCCAGTCTCGAATACAAAAAGTATTGAAATGCAAGAAAACTTCGTTATTTTATTTAACAGCAAATTAATGTTTAATTGGCTTCCCCTTAGGCTTTGTTTGCAAGCATAAGAATTAAATCGCTTTCACAACATCATTGGACTATCAAATTTTTTTTGCTTATTTCGTGTTGAAGATTGTCAATATATGAGCAATACTTCAATCAACCTGCAGTGAGATAATAATTTTTTACTTAAAAAGATTAGTGACATTTTTTTAGATTTCAGCCTTTCGAGACATGCTGACAGTTATCCAAAACTCAAAAAGTGTTTTCACAGTTCTTGAGACCTCGTGATGGTTTTTAATATCTTTAACATATATGCATTGAGAAAGACTGGTGAAGAAGACACTGGTATTGTATAGTCTAGTTTTATAAAAAAAACCATTTCTACTAATTTCCAAAATAAATCATTACAATTTAACATAGATGTCTCGTGAGCATACCAACGTTCAGATGTAGTTGAACACGGTAAATCACAGCAACATCAGTCAAGCAAGAATAAACTAGAAGTACATTTACATTTCAAAAAGCTAACTTCATACTAGAAATCTATCTTTTCACAGAAAAAGAATTCGATGCAGGGACAGTTGAGCAACGAACTACATTCATAAAATAACTACACGCGATTCCAATAAATTATCAAACAAATTTGTTGATTGCGATAATTTAATGAAAGATTAGAATTTAGCAAATGCGACTATGATCAAATACAGTCACATAAATAAAATGGGGGGGGAGGGGTCATCACAACTTTGAACGGTCTCCAATATTTCTCAAAGGCCATTGCTTTTGCAATCGACTTGCCCTTACACGTGGTTATGCAAATGAATACGTGTCATAGCTACGTATACAACCACAAGATCCTTCTTCTCTTATGGGCCTTCTTTAAGAATTTTTATACAAGAGGACAGCTGATACTCAAAGAGAGAAAAAAGTAGTCAAAAATAACAAAAAACAATTTAAAACAAGGACGTAGTTTATAGAAATAGCAATTAGTGGAATATTTGAACATCTTGAAGCAGAGTGTCCGACATTAAGTGTCATAGGAGAGAATGGTGATGCAACAAAGGGTTTAAAGCTCGTAATGTTTCATCAGAAAGTATTGCTCCTGCAATGTAAAGTTTGGACAAATTGAATGTTATTGGGAATAAAGAAACCACTAGAAGACTTGAAAAAAGATTTTCCCGATTTCGCCTTCGAAAATCGACAGATTTCAACAAGTAGAAATTCACAAACCTCACTCAGAAATATATGAAACCATTGAAAAAGAACACTTCTAGTCGTCTTGAAAACATCTTGGCCGTTCATTCAGCCTTCAAATTCTTTGACCTTATTACAGTTCCTGAGAGATAAGATCCAGAGTTTTAAGGAACAAGGTGTTATCCACTTTGGAAAACTGGAATATTACATCTGTGTGGGCAGAGAGAAAAAAAAAGGAATGAAGGAAGACTTTCTGTGCAAAATGGCAGAAAAATAGATTACTTTAAGGTTCGTACGTGCGTGGGTACGATTTTTATGCTCGAGATGAAAACAATTGAAAACAAAAGGAATCTTTTTATCATAGAAGTATTTCATTGTAGATTACAGTGAAATTTGTCGCTGAAAGGATAGTCTCATTTGCATAAAACGATATCTTTTTCTTTCAAATGGAAACGTAAAAAATGCTCTTTAAGATATTTATTAAGTTTTTTTGATGGGAATCTTCTTGATACCGAGGAATTCATGTTTTCACGTAGAAATTACTAAATAAATCGAATGTCCAGCAGTTTTCTAATCATTTTCCTGGCATTTGAACTTATTAATTCCCTACTGACAGTGTTATGTGCCTCATAAAAAGGTTTGATGAATGAAACCAAAAAGATTACTTTTATTTTCTTTAATTTTAATGCTGTTCACCATTGGCAGTAAAAGTCAATTAGCATTTTTTCACTACTGAAAAAAATTGGAATTTCCAATCAGAATCCAGGAACGATGTTTTTCACAAATGAAAAAAGCCGTATCTCCAATCAGATCCTCAGAAATTTCGGGCACATGATTTTTATTGCACTACCTCATTGCGCGCACAAATTTCAAAACTCGTGTAATATATTCAAGTACGTATATACTCCTGAAATTGAAGATTGAAACACCGAATAACAATTGAGGAACAACTTCATTTAAATAGCTAAAGATGAGAATGAAAAATGACAATCCGAGTGTTCTATTACACATCATTATAAACGGCCCAGAAGTACGTAGCCCTGAGCGGATGACAAATCTCAGTAGTACACCCAAGTACTGGGAAGTTTAGAAGGAATTGCAATCTGATTAAAATTATTTCCCACGTCAACATTGCCTACTTAAGTCTACCAATCTACGCAACCTCCCCTCCCCCTCCTCTAATAGATGCTGCTGCTTGCTCTGTCGTCTGCGTTCCTTAATGTGAATTCTACGTACTTTCAAAGATAATGAACCCTCTAATTAAAATAAATTAGCATGCAAATGAGGCGTTTACATCAAGGATAATAACTTTTTATCGTGGCGATGCGACCATTGTAAAATTGTCAAACTTCTCAAATTTTCAGTAAATTTCCATTTTATAATTCATCAAATGATAATATAATATCCGCTGATTGGCAAAACCGTTTAATTAAAAGCAATGTTAGCGATATTAAATCAAAAAAAGATCTTACCAATGAGGGTTGCCAAAGAGCAATGAGGGACAGTTGGAGTAAAGTTAACCTTGACTAAATACTCGTCATAACCACTCTTTTGAACATGTATCATGCTTTCAGCAATGACATCAAGTTCTCCCAAAGTTTGATCTTTTTCAGGATCCTAGAAAAACAAAAGCATGAGTATTTCAACACTGGGTAGATATTTTAGTAAGGCCAGAATGTCAGTAAAAGCAAAAAGTCAAGAGGCAATAAACTTTGGGTGTCCAATTTAATAGCATTTACTTAGTTGTTTATTTCTTAAAATAAAATATAAAATCAACTGGGTTATTTGATGCATATATTACTCATAAGTGTTTTAAGATTTGGGGTAATGTTTGTAAAATAATCAACTAAATCATGCACAAGACCAACTTGAAATCTAACATGCTTTTAATTTACATTATTCGTCAATATTCTAATTAATTTTGAAATTAAAACAATGATTTTCAGATTTATATATGAAGAGCAACATTTAGTAAAGCTAGCCAAGTCTTTTACTACTAGATACAACAATGCAAAGTTTTCAGGAAAATTTTTGTATAATTCTTCAAAAAATTTGTTCCATTCATTGCTTTTCCAGTGATTAAACAAAAATATTGGCTTGGTAGGAGTAAAAGAGCCAACTGGCTTTTAAACAGCTACTAAACAGCACAAAATATCACTTACTCGAATATCCCTTAACAGATCTAGAAAAAAAAAATAGATGTTGAGATATCAAAAATAGATCTGAAAAAACTGAAAAAAATATATAAAAATTATGTAAATAACAATTAATGAATGAAACATTGCTGATCTAGCCAATTATTTTACAAAACAAGTAGTTTTCAGTTTTACAATTAAGTTGTCAATTTTACATCATTTACGCGCACAGAAATTTCACCAAACAAACAGACGCTTTGGAAGCTAGGAAGAGTTGTGGGTGTTCCATATTCGCACATTCACAACGCAAGAAACTTAGAATAGAAATGAACTTGTTTCATTTTACTTATTTTGAATCTGTTTTTCTTCTTTTTTGTGCAAACATTACAAATGACTTCCAAATTTCCTCAATGTCCATTTAAAATTTCCATGTTCTTGGATTCAGTTCAATAATATGAAAACTTTGTACATCTATCATAAACGTTCAAGTGAGAAGCTTAACTTGTGGGTGTCCTTTCTATAAGATATGTACACACTGCGAAAATTGTGGATGTTTGGATACCCAGACACCCACAGCTTCCCAAGCCCCTGCAAACAAATATGCTTAACACACAAAGAAAAGTTCTCTTTTATGGTCAATTAATGTTCACCATGGCTAGATACACACTTAGAAATATATCTTATTGTTAAGTACATGCAAATTTACTTTTTAAAACTGAACAGCAATTCAAACCTTTACAGTGATAAAAAAGCATTTACATTGACAGTTTTTGCACATTGGATTTATTCTAATAATATGCAAAAGCCTATTAATTTGTGTAGATGTGCAAACTTTCAAATACATCACATGTATAAAGCATTGATATTTTTTTGTCAAACTGAGAACAATAATTACTCAGCTAATTAATATTATATTTGCTAAAGAATATACCTTATTGTGTACCGTATGCCAAAAAGACATTACATATACAGTGTTCTTACATCATGCAGCATAACTTAAATCTACTGATAAGTAACTTGCTGCTTTTCTTCATACTAATACTTTTAATGATGGGCATGGGCATATTGGTAATAAAGGAGGGGTCATGTATTCATATATGCATGTAGCATGTTGAAAACTTCAAAGAAATTTAACATTGAATATCATTGTTACATGAATACGTGCCCCACTCAACAAATTATCAATCTTCCTACCTCCATGCTTTAAACATACATTGGATGTAACATAAACTACTGAATTGATGTGCTCAATCTTTGTGAAACTGTTTTGAGTAAGTGATCAATTTTAATATGGCATGTCAAAGTTATGACTGCTTGTAAATATGCAACACAAGTAGAAAAATTGCAACTTTACATAGGTTTATGCAAGCACATCTTGTAAATATAGTAGTAATCATGTATTTATAACTTGATTAAGTGATCAATCATTTGTTTTGTAAATATGCAACACAAGTAGAAAAATTGCAACTTTACAAGGTTTATGCAAGCACATCTTGTAAATATAGTAGTAATCATGTATTTATAACTTGAGTTAGTTAATCACTTGTTTTGAGTAAGTGATCAATTTTAATATGGCATGTCAAAGTTATGACTGCTTGTAAATATGCAACACAAGTAGAAAAATTGCAACTTTACATAGGTTTATGCAAGCACATCTTGTAAATATAGTAGTAATCATGTATTTATAACTTGTTGGTATACAAACCAGCCACTTGAATTAATTTGCCTTTTGTGATTGTTTAGGACAAGGAATGAATCGGTGTAATAAATGAATCACAAATACTGTCTTAATTGGAAAGGTTTTAGATTTATTTCATTCAAAAAATAATAAATGAGTGGCATTGAGACTGCTACATATAAGAATACAATGTCCATTCACAAAAAAGCATTTTCTAATGGAGAAAAACGAACTTTAAAAATATCTGATGAAATAAAACAGCATTGAGTAAAAAACCAAGTATACGCGATTCACTTATCAGGGAACTTTCTTCAAACATAACGAACGAAATGATGTCTTAATGCTTATAGACAATACATCAGTTATGATAAATATTAGCAAAATAAGAAAAAAATGATTAATACCAAATACTTCTAATATTTTCTCTTCGTCCAAGTCTGACTTGTGTAAATCAGATAAGATTTTAGGCTCTCTTTCTTGAGAATCCATCCAAATAGTTCAATTGATAAGGATTGTGAATATCGTTTACAAATTAGTGTCATTAAAATTATATATATTAGGTAGGAATACTTAATTGTGGTACGCAATACGTCATGTAATGAGGATATAAAAGAGAAAAATACGATATTTCAGGTGGATTAGTAGCAGTCACATGGCGTGTCTAAAATAAAAGTTAAAGCCAATTTCCATTACAGTCGCTTAGGTGACTTCTACATTTGGGACAGCGCATGAGTCACATAGTGTGGATTGTATTGTAGAGCCACCATAGTGCTCAAACCTATAAAGGTGAGCTTTGCATATCGCCAACACGGTGAACGTCTTATTATTACACTCTACACAATCCGAGAGTTCTTAAACTGCGCACGCACAGTGAGCGAAATATACAAATTGTATATCAGGAAATTTTAAATGTGGTGATTCTCCGTATAAAACAGTGCTCCATGGCAGATTTTCCATAACATTCACTAAAGACGAAGAGCACAACAAACAACTAAATTTTATCGACATCCTACTGACCAGAACAGATGACGGTCCACTACACACAAGTATACCACAAAACTACCCACACAGACCAAATGCTTGATTTCAATAGCAATCACCCAACACAACACAAAATAAGCTGCATACCAACACTTTTTAACAGAATCAACACCAATTATAACACCGAAGAAGCTAAGAAAACAGAACGCAACTACTTATACTCCCCAATCATAAAAAACAATTGCTCAAGAAACTTTATAAACAAAATTATAAACAGAATACAAAACAAAACACGAACCAACAAAAGTAACTAGAAACTCGACGAAATAGTAAAAACCATCACATTACCATACATAAACGGAACATCAGAAATGACTGCCAGACTTCTTCGACTATTCAATATTATCGTCGCCCACAAACTTACACAAAAACTGAAATCATATTTCACCACACATAAAGACAAAGCAACATTCCATGATACAACTGAGGCGATCAACATGATACCATGCAAATATTGCTCAAAACAAAACATATGACAAACAAAAAAATTCGAAACAAGACTCACAGAACACAAAAACGCCATAAAATGACGAGACCCAAACTCACTACCGGCAGAGCAAAACAACGCAAATAATCACACATTCGACTGGACAAAAACTAAAGTTCTCGGACGCGCACAAACAAAACACGCACACGAATTCAAAAAAAGCTTGGTACAATAAAGACAACGCCACAATAAACAGACATATCGACATACCCATCACATATTCACAACTAAAAAAAAGACAAAAGAACTACAAACAACACCAAAACTACAACATTACACTATAATAATATCAACACCAATCACATCCACAATGCACCAAAACCCATGGCAACGCATTTCACCCCATCCAATCACATTAATGTACCAGGTAATCCAATTAGACGTTCTATAAGCGTGTACAAGCTAAAAGCAACTGTAAAAAGATAAATTCCTTATTCTGATGAAGGCTCGAAACATCGAGTCGAAAGCTCAATAAAAAATAAGAGTTTGGACAATTATATATATGCTAAAATGGTCGAAAGAGACATATAAAACTAATAGGAACCAAAAAGTTAAAAATAAGCATAATCCGTAAAAGGGCATCTTGTAACCTCAAATAGTGCAACTTAGTGTAACTCATAATGTAACCCCAAAGTTATAAAAGAAACAATTACGCTACAATATTTGGTTTTTATTTAAAAAACATCATCAGAAAGAATGACATATTTACAAGTTGCCAGTTACTTGCACATATAAATACATATAATATAAAACAAATTCCGAAGAAACAAGACATCTTGAGATTGAAAATATGAATCAAAACAAGACGAGAAGTAAACTGTAAATTTTCGACTTTATTTCAAAGTCATGCTCAGACAGAAATTATCCTCAGACAGACTTTGAAATAAAGTCGAAAATTTACAGTTTACTTCTCGTCTTGTTTTGATTCATATTTTGCAATCTCAAGATGTCTTGTTTCTTCGGAATTTGTTTTATATTATACTTTTTTAAATTGTCGGCTGGTCATGGTATATATATACATAGTTTGTATATATATATACAGGTGTTCGGTTACAATACGAGAAAATTTAGGGGTTGTTTGCATGAGCCCGGGTAGCCGGGATTCAGTGAAGCGTTAAATGATTTTGGCAAATTGAAAAGATTTAATACTTATCATCCGATGAATGTTCTTCAGCACTTACACAATATTCTGATTTTATAACTATACGCATAACATTCAAAATCAAACAACAAATTTGGCCTTATTTGAGAATTACAACAGGCATTACTTGCAGCGCTTAACAACAGTTTTAATTTTTACACTTGAAGTTTCGACTCTTTTCAACGTGCCGAAATGATTTTACGCCTCACTGAATCCCGGTTAGCCGGGATCATGCAAACAGCCCTTATTGACTGTATTTACGATTGTTAATTATCGAAACCCAAATGTTGTTCAAATTGTTGCTATAAGTTTAGAGAAACGTGCGAAATCCTTGCTAGTTTAATTCTATACTTGATCCCAAATTCAGTTAGCAATAACTCTAAAACATGAAATTTTTAAAAAATGTGTGCGTGAATTGTCGTGTATGACAACATAAGTTTTCAATATTTCATGCTAGAGATTACGATAAGATCTTCATTTTCAATGCGAGAACTGAATTTTAAATTTTTAAAATTTTGGGGATAGTCTTTAGAATTTATTTTCACCCTGACAGTTGAAATGCCAAGGCCCTTATATTGGAGTATTGGAGACACTTAGTTAAGCCTGGTCCTTCAAACTCTAAGGGAAGGTTGTCTTAAAAAATAGTAACCACGAGGTTGATAAATGATAACTTAATCAGCCGAATTTATAATTAATTTATTAATGCAAATTGTATTTTGTTTTACAATTATGTACAGGGTGTATCAAAAAATTACAATTCAAATTTGGGGTTCAATAACACAGAATATATTTGAAAAAGTCGTTTGTAACTTCATTCGTATTGTATACATATTTTCAGTTTTGGCTGAGCCATTTTTTAGCGACTGATCAATACAACGCACAGTCTCATCGCAATATTACAAACTAGAGTACCTCAGCATTTTCTCATGTATAAACAGCTTCTAAAAGATTATAGCTTCAGGACGATATTATACAGACCCTATCAAGTGAGAGTAATTTCATTATAACATTATGTAAATCGTTGAACAGAACTATTGAACATGAACATCTACACAACAACTTATAAGAAAGAATTATCTCTCATACACCCAGCGAATTAGCTTTGTTATGGGAAGTAATATATCAACTAAACAGGTGACAGAAAATATTTGTTGACGAATGACGAGTTATTTTGCAGTGTCTTCAAGAAATGGTGTTAATTAATCCTCAATATTCAAGTTACGGAAACATTCTATCTGGATAAGACAACAAAAACATTTTACCTTAAAAACCATAGCTAAATGGCTCGCCTTGTTGTGGTGTTAAGTTGTTCAATCGATGCTTTTGTCTTCCCCCAACTTTTGCACATTGGAATATTGAATATAATGGTCATACTCTAGTACAACCTCTCGAGGCACCATCAAATTTCAAAATTTAGACGGTCTACTACCCCTGAAACAACAACATTTACCCAACCAGTTGAAGTTTAAATAACCCTTAAAATCTATGAAAAAGACGTTTTTAAACGTTTATATGTTTAAAAAACTGTAATCAATGTAAACGTTAAATATAATTGGTACGACTTGAAGTAATTCACTGTCACTGGTTAAGATTACAAACAATTATCTATGTTTTGTTTAACTGCATAAAGACCATACAAACTATGTAACTTTTATGACGCAAAAAGCAAATTAACAATAAAATACAAATTAAAAAATAAATAAATGATAGTTTGCCTAAACTGAAGTTAATTTATTAGGTGGTTTTACATAAAAAATACACTAACATTAATGAAATAAATAAACTGTCATACTATTATAAAGATGAATGTCACGTTGTGACTGGAACATAAGTAGGAGAGTTCACACTAAGCCAAATTCTTTGCACGTAGAATAAATTAATTTACAAGTCATTATGTACGAATTGTTCTTGAGTTTCTTATAATTTAATCTTCCATGACATAAAAAGAAATCCCCGAATCTTTGGAAGAATAGGCCCGGGTAGCAAAATCATTAGTCTCCCAATGCTGTCTTGACTTCGCTCTTCCAAAAACGAAATTTATCTTTGTGTATCAACCCTCCCGAGGACTCGAAAACACAATTTTGTTTACAATTTCGGGATCGGCCTTCGATTTACGACAATATTTTGCTAGGCAGATTACAAAGAAAGCTTCCTCGGCGAACAATCGGTGATATCTGCTTTGGCAGATAATAAATATTGAAATAAATGATGAATTGTAAAGATAGTGTGTTTTGTAATGTTTTGAATGTACACGAAATAAAAACACGAATCTCACAAACAAAGAAAATTACTCGCGGGATTAAGTTCTAATCAGGCCTTTCAAAAGCAGCATGACCAGATGACGTAAAACGTCGCGTTTTAGCATGCTCATCTGCTGTATTCCAATCAGATTACAAAAAATTTTTCTATAAATATATTACTTGTCGTGCTGATTTTTAAAATAATGACCACGTTGCACTTATAAACGAAAAATAAGTTCTAGTTTAGGCTGTTGCCTGGATGCAAGATAAAACTTTAATAAGACGCAAAATTCAATATATCAATTGATTTTCGTCCCAAATTTTTATATATGACTTAAGTAATCTCTAAGAAACAATCAGTCATCAGAATCTACAATGACTCCAACAAAAATAAAATTTGTTTTGTAGAAAATTTTACTCATGCTGAGCATGACCAGCATGACCGCTACCCACGCCTGTGAGTATTTTAAATTAGCATAATATTATCGTAAATATCATTATACAAAGTGTACTAAAAAAATGACTAGTTTAGTTTTTTCTATTTAATTGTCTTTTTTTAAAACTTATCAAATGTTTTTATTTGCTCTTAACTCACATTTGTAGATAATTGAAGAGATCATAAAAAAATGATGATATTAAAAACAAAAAAAT